TAAATTACCTGATCAAATAGCTGGAAATGTACGAATCCGCAGTTACCGTGTGGATAGATTTTATTGGATAACTACAAAATAAGAATTGCAAAAGTTACGATTTGCTTACAACAGAATATTGGAAATAAGAAAATTAAAAGCTGATTTTTGATATATAGCGAACGGGTGAACATAAAAATTGCAAAGAAACAAGAAACATCATATAGTGGCATGGACCAAACTCGTTAATGAAAAATACTATTTTATACTATTACTATTTATTATTATACTATATTATACTATATACTATACTATGTGACCTGCCAATTTGCGATTAGAAATGAGCAGATTCAAAAAATAGAGGATGGCGAATTAAAAAATTATAAAAAAATGAATATATTGGATGCTCAAAACTGCACCAAAATTACAACCTTTCTATGCAAGGTAATTTTAGAATATGGTAATACTACGTTTTGTCAATTTAGTCAGCAAAAAATTATTATTACAATAAGGAGAATTCAACGGGTCCAATAACTGCACAAGAAATACGACAAACCAAAAAGATTTTAATACAACAAGCTCAAGAAGATGAAGAAAATATCCAAAAATTTGACCTAAAAATTGACAATGATATATGAGTGATAAAAAGAAGATTTTCCTAGAAATCATCGATTAACCAAGTTAATTGTTGTGGACAGATACCAACAATTGTTAAGCACCAATTGACACAGCAGTATATTCCCTGAGCGAAACTTATTGGATATCGAGATTTACCCAAAAGATTGGAAAAATTATCAACATATTGCATATATTGCTGAAAATGGAGAGCTAAACAGTTTGAATTACCAAAGATGAACAAATTTCCAAAAATATGAATTAATCGTACTCCTTTCTTTACATATCGAAGTGGATTTAGCCAGCCCGATTTGGATAAAATGGGATCGCCTTATTTATTTGGGCGATTACTTAGACTTGGAACTCGTCAACGACGAATTTTTTCTGAAAGCAGAAAGTTTTTTATTGTTGCTGAGAAACCTCATCCGAGAAAAAAATTATTTTTACATACCGAAATCATTATTTTCAGACAATGTAAAAAACTTTACTTTATCAAAAGATACAATATATAAGACAAAAACTGATAAGCGGAGGACAAAATAGAATGGAAATCCATTCCCAAGTACATCCCATGTGCTGTTGGAGTCTATGAAAATTAGGTCAGAATTATCAAAAGAACATTAAGAGTAATACTGGTGAATAGAATCATAGACTGAGATCGTTTCAGAACCCCTTTTGTATGAGATCGCAGCTGCGGTAAATGAGCGACCACTTTGCAATATGTTATACGAGAGAGAATTTTGTTTTTGTTCGACCACGTGATTTGCTTATGCAACAAAATGCACCATGGATTTTGGAACAACGCAGTCTAGACAAGAAATATGAAATAGAAAACAAGGACATAAGAAATTACTGAAAATTGGTCGAAGAAAACTCGGATAATCGCACAATTTTGGGAATTATGGCATAGAAATATTTTATCGTAAAATATTCTTTGGTGCTACAGTCTTCTTTGTCTCCTCATCCTAGTTCTCCTGTAGCTGTGGGATACCAAGATATTTGTAGCTAGTCTATATGTCTGCTATAAGTTCTGATGGCAAGTCCGCCCTATCAATCATGATTACTTTTCCTTTCTTTGTTGCCATCCGACCACACCTCTCCAGTTTGAATATTATCTATATAGAGATTGCTGGTAGCTCCACAGTTAAATTTGTGTCCATATTCACTTCTTGCGATCTGAAGAAGAAGGAGCGAACAATAGCGGAGATAATGCATCGCCTTAATATATGCTGTACTTGATATTTATTTATATAAGCTATTTCGAGTTTCAAGTATTGTTTTCCACTGAGTTCTAAATGAAGGTCTGATTTTATATGAAGTCAGACGTTCATAGATGTGGGGGGCATTGAATAGGGTTATTGGCTTTCCTACAGTCAATCAATGCTATTTACAGATTGGTATGTCGAGATTTTGAACCTTGAGCAACTTGAGTGACCTTGAGAAGCTGATGTTTGGAACCTCTGGCCTTTTTTCCAACGCTTTTTTGAATTGCACATATATACTGGTTCATGTGCTCATGAAGCTTTAGCTTTACGTTTATGATGCCTGACAGGACTTTCGACATTGTGGGTAGGCTAGTTATTGGTCAATAGTTGGATGATGTTGTTCCCTTGTGAGAGTCTTTCATGATCAATACTGTTCTTCTTTATATTAATCAATCTGGACAAGCGTCCACATCTGGTTCATCTGCATTGCTCAACCGCTGTTAGCTCCTTCAGTCAGTAGGTGAGGGTTAAGTTCAGACCATATGCTTTGTAATTTTTCACACTTTTGAGTTGAGCGACTGTAATGGTAGATGGTTCTTGCTTTGAAAGGTTGTGTGCTGTGGTTCTGAATTCTTGCAGCCACTTTACATCAGTATTGTGAATTTTTTTTCTCCCATATATTCCTCCAGTACTCTATAGTTTTCCCTGTTAATGGCTGGCATTCTGAATTTGGTACTTATTCAATCTTTTCGTTATACGCTGTATATCAAAATTTTTGCCATATTTTAGTTTAACCGAATTCAGTTTTAATGAAAATTTATTATAAAAGAATTCGAAAATTTGCAAATTTAAATCATAAAAAATAGTGGTCACTAACTTAATTTTTATGGGAAACATCACAAGAATTCCATGCCACAACTCTAAATTAGTTCAGTCATTTCGTTGTAGAAAATATTTCAATTTTGGACTCCGATCTACTTTATACCAAATTTTGCAGTGTTCTTGGTACTAATACTTGGACAAATCAATCATGCATGCATTCCCCAACCCCTTTTCAGTATATCTTATTATGACTGGTAATCCGAGTAATTGTATTTCGCGTAATGTATGTTTTATTGGGCGATTTTATTTTTAATTAATTGATAGCATCAACAAATTCGTTTCTTTCCTGCATTTTATATTGTTCTTCATTTTATTAATGCCACTTTATCAATTGTTTTGATCTTATTTTTCGTCGATTTGGCAAATTTGAGATCGGATAAAACTGATTGGCATTCATACTGCCCTATTGAATAATTCTCGCGTGCTATGGGACAAATATGTAAAACTATTTTTACAATCATAAACATTCGCAAATAACTATTATGCAACAAATAGTTGATAAGACGAGATATGCTAATTTAAAAATGTTTGATTTTTTGAAATTCTGAAGCTGAATGTTTAAGATTTAATTCTCTTTTTTACGAATTCTTTATTTGTGTAAAATTTCGGTAGATTTACATCTACACCTTCGGTAGATCTACATCTACACCTTCGGTAGATCTACATCTACACCTTCGGTAGATCTACATCTACATCTTCGGTAGATCTACATCTACACCTTCGGTAGATCTACATCTACACCTTCGGTAGATCTACATCTACACCTTCGGTAGATCTACATCTACATCTTCGGTAGATCTATCAAGATGGAATTCTTAATAATTTTAATATTTCTTAAGTTATTTCGTTTAACTTCACAGCCTTCAAGTAGATATTATATCATTCCAAAATCAAAAATCTGTTACGCCAATGAATCGAGCTCAGAATCGGTAAATGCGCGCAGCGATACTCGTTGGCTAGCTTATCGAAATACTCAAACTGGTCATATTTTATTACATATATATAAACAATACTTTATTTTAACTTCCGCAAATATTACGATATTACGATTTGCTTTATAAATAATAAAAAAAGACTAATACGAATCATGAATAAAATATTTTGGGAATGAAAATATCAGAACCGTAATACATTATAAAAATAGAAATGAAAAAATTAAATGCCTGAGAATATATGTTACAAAAATATTCTTTCCTAAGGATTATCTGCCACGGTAATCCTCATTAATTCTAATAAAAAATATTAAATGCTAATGCTAATGAAATGCTAATGGAAACTGAAAGTATAAATTAAAATTAAGTGAGAAGAAAAAATGTATATATAATAAAATAATATGAAATGAATATTTTTAAGTATAACAATAATAAAGATGATAATGATAATATTAATACAATAAGTAGTACAGTAAAAATAAATCGATTGGAAGAACAAATGAACGTTTCTTACGAATTAATTAAAAATTCTCTGAATATATATTTACAATAAAATTTAAAATATAGAAATAAAGCATAACACATTAATCTCTTTTCCCAAGAAACTCTTTGAAGAAGATCTACTCTGGTAATCAATGAAATTAGCCAAGCCAGAAGTGATGAAGTCATAAATTATATTCTGGTAGATGAATCGATTAAAAATATTAATAAATAATGTCCAAAAAAAATTTGCAAAAAAATGCGGAGAAATTGTTTGAATAGGTTTGTAATTTTCGCACTATAAAATATTGGATTTACAACTTTGCAAAGGAGGTTTTTTAAGAAATTGAAATATTGGAAACGGCCAATCGAATCTGCAATATATAATAATAATAAAATGATAAGAAAATCAGCATAAACAGCGAAAAAAACCATAAGGAAAATTACTAACTTTCGAGGAATTGGTCGATCAACGTTCCCTTCCATGAATAAAAAAAAGCGATACCAATACAAATTTGATAGATGATTATGATGCGAGTTCATATTTATATGCTAAATAACGCAATAAAGTTATTGATATTGTTTAATTTAAATATATTTGCCCCAAAATATTTATAATAAAGATAGCTGAGTGGTTTGGTGCTTGAATTGTCGGCCCAAGATCGGACGATTCAAATTCTATCCCGGATACGAATAAAAATCATCCGTGCTGGCGACTTACCTATATTTCTATTTGCAGGTTATTTCCTGGCATAATTTCTATTTCTATTTGCAGGTTATTTCCTGGCATAATTTTTTACCATAATCACTTATATCTAATAGAGCGAGCAGCCTCGTGAGAAATGGTGAGAATAACCATTTATTATTAATATTAATAAGGAAAGAGAAGTAAGTTCCCTCTTTCTTTGTAAATATATAATCTTTTACAACAGCAAACAGAACTATTTTTCAAAAAAGAATTACTCTTAAATTAGAGCAAGCAGCAAGTGTATGGTAAATCCAAAAAATTCGCGTTGAGATCCAGTAGGAGATTATAACATCAATTGTGTAATGACCTCTCGATATAAGCAATAATATAACACCAACCATAGAAATAAGGATAGAGAGAAAATGTAACGGTTTCCATCGACGAGGACTATCTGTAAATCAAGTGGTACTAGAAACCTTGCTGTACTTCTATATGCAAATGACTTTCTGGAGGAGAGAGACCTTACTTACTTTAAGAGCCACGAGCTTAGCCAAACTAAAAATAATGTCAGAAAAAGGAGAATATATATATCAAATTATTCCAAAAACTAATAAATTCATTTAATTTTTAAGAAAAAATTACATTCTCTTATAAAAAGACAACTAATGACAAAAACAATAGTGTGTCCGCTATAAATATAATCACCACAAAGTGTATGTTTTCCGTTAATTTTTAATCCAACACCGCCGACGATCTGCAGCGACCGCAAGAAGACATTCCAAAACGTGTAGTTATCATCCTGAACACCATTATTTTTGCACAATTTATTCTTAATGTTTCGATATTATGAGGGATAGCAGACGAGAAGTGCAATATTGTTTTCAGATTATACAAATCAGAACCTATATGGAGAATTTTCGAGAAATTGGCGGAGAGAAAAAACTGAGCGATGATTCTAAAAAATTTTGGATAAAATTCAAAAATACATAAATCTTCCTTAAACCTTAAATTTTGGCGAACAATAATAATTTGAATCAGCAACTGGCACTTGAGTAGCAAGGATGGTTACACATCGACCAAAATACAATAAAGATCCGATGCAAGCAATCCTTCTAAAATACATAGAATTTGAACAACCCAACACATTTTTTACAATATTTCTAGGTAAACAAATAACTTAGAAAAGATATTAATGCGTCTGCTAATAATACTATTTATTCTTGTATTTGAGAGGGTAGCGAAACTTAGAAAAGATTAAAATTTTCTTAATAAATATTCTTAATCAAGGACAAGAGAAAGAACGAAGCGAAGAACAAATTAACTGCCTGGCTCACCTTAAAATAATCCATCTATATTTGTGGAAAATTGTTATTAATAACATAATAAACAACGAAATTAGTATCAAATATTCAGAAAAAACAAGAGCTTGTGGAATGTAAGGTGTTCGTTCGAACACAATATCAGGCAAAGGTGGCTGCTCTGGAACTCGTTCATGTACAACCGACAACACAAAATCATTGAAGAAGCCGATAATCACCAGAATTAATAATGCTAACTGAAAATGAGTTCAATTTGATTCAATTCAATTTAACTCGTACCTGTATTGGCTACTTTCTTCACATTTACCAATAATGGAGGAAAGATGAGAATTATGGATCTGGCCTTGACGATCAGAGCAGCTTTGAGACGATCTTTCATCACTTTTTTTATACTTATTGACGTGAACCACCTCTTTAGCCAGTGACCTTATTGAAACGATGTTTATATTTTGGCTGGCTTATAAATACAACGAAGCCTAATAATTCTGAGAATTCTGGGAAGCTCGTTTTAAAAAATGGAACTAAAATAGCAATTCACCAGTGCCTTGCCCCGTTCTTTAGGCAGACTATTCTTATCGTTTAATGGCATATTTAAACCAATTTCATGGTCGATTTCAACACAAAGATGTGGTAGTCCATTCAATAATCTTTGATTTTCGCCAACTAAAACATAAATACTAATATTAAAAAATTAAAAAAATAAGTAGTTATACATCATTTCTGATCGTGTTAGCTCCATTGATTGTTAGAAATTGTTGTCAGAGAGTCAAGAATTGTGGATAGAACACCGGTTAATTATGAATATTAAAAAATACTTTCAAAAAAAATTTCTATAAGGTGCGTAGTGCATAAGGTGGTTGGTTCATAATGGTGTTACGAGAACCTAATGAGAAAGTTAGAGGAGCTTAAATTGAAAAAACCAACTTATGGCTTAAAAGTAAACTAATTTAGCAATGATGATTTTCTTGAAAAAGAGCAATAGAATGCAAGAAAATAATATAAAAAAATTTACAAACCACAGTTGTCCTCGGATGAGTCCTCCGATGAGTTCAAACTATTGCATATCCGTCGCGATTTTATTGTATTTGATTCGCCATTGATTATAAACGTATCATCATCTTGTTTTTTCATTAAATATCAATAAACCTATAAAAATAAATCAGAAAAAAAGGTTGAAATTTGAAGAAGAATTCTTAAGAATAAAATAATCCGATAAACTCAATTTATCTCAATTCTGCACCGATATGTCAGTCTAATCCTTATAAGAACATAATTTTATTTTAGTTCCATTCCAATCCTTTAGCAAATGAGAATAAACTTATAATTAAAAGTGAAATGCAAATGGAATGGAGAACCCAATTATACTTCTGATTTTAAAATGCCCAACTGACTTTTCTATCGAAATTATTTCTCTTTTCATTTATAAAATTGTACATTTGCAAAAAATATATAATTTAAAATATACAATTAAAATATATAAAATATATATTAAAAATTGCTGAGCATAAGTAATTAATTAAAATTTTTTTCATTTTAAAAAGGCAAAAAAATTCAAGAATTTTATTAAAACAATGATTTCAAATTGTTTTTGTAAAAAAAAGTCAAATCTTATAACAAAAAATCATAAAGTAATCGCTCCTATAGGACATATATGGAGTTGCTGATAATAACTGATGAAAAAAAAGAAGAACTGGTTGCTGAATAATTTGATTTGAAATTGATAACGATTTATTATTGTAATTAGAAAAAATCGAGTTTCCCGACCCCTTTTGTAAGCACTAAATGGTATCTAAAGTATATAAATGGTTTTATCGAATTTAATCATCTTTATAAAAAGTCTTTCAAGTATAGTAGCGAATCGAGCGGCCTGCAAATGCTTCCTTCTTGTAGCCATCGAATCGAGTTCAACCAATAATGGTGCAAGCTGTGCAAAGAAAGCAAAGAAAAATTAATTTTATAACTCTGCATCCTTTATTCCAGAATGCGAAGGGAAAAATATTCACAATTACAGCAAAAAATAATGAAAAAATGGAGGATATTTAGAATCATAGCAAAATAATACAACAAAAAATAAAGAAAAAAGTTAAAAATATCAGTCGAAAAATTATATCAGTGAAAAGAATTAAAACTGAATCATTAGGCAATATGTATGAAGTATTAATTTGAAAATCACTATATGGATCTGAATAAATATAAAAACTGATCAGCTGATTGGTGGATAAAACATATTTGATTTCAAAATTTGATTTCGACCACTAAATCAGAATTTTTAAATTTTATGAATATTTATGTAACCTTCGACTTATAAGAAAATTTTGCATAAAATTTTGTAGAAAATTGTATAAGAGTAGAATGGCTCAGTCGGTTATTGTACTCATTTCAAAGCGCTGATGCTAGAGTTTCAGGGCTCTCAAAAGGAGTAAAAGGAGTATGTCTTTCGTAAATCAGGATAATTCTGGCGATAATTCGGTTGCAGCTGTCGCAGAACTAATCGTAAGATTTATTGAGATTTAACGAAGCACAGTGATTCAATACGTTTAATAATAATGTAGCAAATTCCTGGACAGCAAGTTTGATAACTGAACAGAACAATTGTTGAGCTGGTGTTAAACAAGAAAAACTATGTTACCACAATCAAAGACTGCAGACAAAAATACTGAAATATAACAATAATCTTTAAAGGTTCTAAATCCACAGCTCGAGGGTTTCAAGGATCAATTTACATCAATATTACATAGAAAAATCATCTATCTGACTTGTAAAGCTCATTTAATCCTTTTAGACAGATTTCGGCGAATTCGCGACATCGCCTGCATTTCTATCGCTAAATCACCCTGAAAAAATTTGCTTGGTCCAACAAGAAGCGAGGAAATGTGAGAACTCTTGGAAAAAAATTTCAAGACGTTCTTTAAACCAGAAATAATTAGTTAGTTATTTTTAAACTCTTAAATCCCTTCTGACAAATTTAATTTAAAAAATGTCATTAATGATTTGCAAGACATATTTCATATGTATTCTTTCTTAACCAAATTTTTATTGGCAAACTTCTGTTAAATTTAAATTAAAAAGAGCTTATATAGCCAATCCTGGTGGCACTGATGATCCATTTCTACACTTCTCTCATCAAATGATTCTGCCAACAGCCCATTGAATGGCCTAACTAGAAGTGGTAAATGCTAAACACTTTTAAAAATACGACGAATTGGCAATTAAATGCGCATACAAATAAAATAACAATAAAAATGGCAAAATGGCAAATATGACAAGGAAAGATTTAAAAGCAGAAACAACCGTCTTGCGACTCTTCTTGCCAGTGAAGGGATTTAATTCTTTATAAATATTGGCCAAATAACGTTAAAAGAATTTAAAAAACCCACAAAAACGTTTTCATATCTTAAATCGTTGAATATACTTAAAAAAGAATTTCAAAAACTATGAAAATGAAAAAAAATTTAAAATAACTGAAAATAACAAATTAAAATAATAAATAAAACATAAAACAAAATTTATATCGAAAACTTGTTTTTAAATTGTAATCAAATGAAAAAAAATTTTTTTCTACTACTCTTCCATAAGAATTCAATTATTTTAAATTTTCATGAATCCATTAGAATATTTTGAAAAATATAAAACATTAGAATATTTTTAATTGTAAGTTTGTCCCGCTCTTGCGGCAATCTCTATACGGCAATTGGGCTACCATTTATTTTAGGAATTACCACTCATATTAGCCTATCCTTCCACATTTAAAGAAAAAAGAAAAATATCAAAGAATAGATTAGAACGCTAAAATTAGCCTAAAAAAATGCGCATACAAACTTATTTAGCACAATACGATCAAGAATATATTAAAGGACTTTTGCTATATTTATCGTGATTTCAGAAAAAATTACATAATTAATTAAATAATAATTAAAATAATGGTATATAAACGACTCATAAGAATGTAATCAATGACTCAAAAGAATTGTTGATAAGAGTTGAAGCGAACACCGTTTCCATTTCATTCCCCTTTTTTAATTAGACTGTCTTCAAAAGTGCAAATGATGTTGAAAATCTTTGATTTCTATCCACAAGTAACTCGAAAAGAATATCACCAGAAGAGCCAAAGAAAATATACGAATTAGTTAATGAAAAAGTTAAAAACAAACAATTGAAGTTAATAATCATTTTTATGCACTTTTAGAAGAATATAAATAGTATAAAAATATAAATCCTGAAAATTCGGAATTAAGGAATGCCAAATCCAATGAAAACAATAATGTATGACAATATTTAGAAAGAAATCGGCTCAATATTGAAGAATTTGTCAAAAAGAAAAATTGATAAAAGCATAACTGATAAATTGATAAGCGCATATTCGATAAAAGAGTAACGAAAAGAATAAGAGAAAATTTACAAAAACGAGTCCTAACATAGGAAAGCACTATCATCTCCAAAATTCGTCAAATGTTTCGCAAAACATTTCGTATGAGAACCGGATATAAATATAAACACAACAACGCTTTATGCCAATAAAAATATTTGGTTTTATGGTGATTAAATCATAAAAAAGATTAATGACAAATTCAATAATAATGCAACTTGTATGACAATATTTTGAAAGAAATATCAGTGATAAGTCAATAATAAGTCAAAACATCAATAGAAATAATATATTTTTAAAATCTTAAATCCCTTCTATAAGAAATAAGTATCAAAAGAAAAATCCTTATAAAAATCGAATGAAGCATGGTTTTCGATGTTTTTCATAGGCATTTGAATTTATGAACCTTTTTCTTAGCACATATCAATTTGGCTCATTCTACCCAGAAATACGATGGGACACCGTTAGCGAGCAGTTTTGGTGATGATAGAAGCACATATGGATCTCTCTGGCACAATTCCAATTTCATTTTTAATGATAAGTTTAATCTCCTCGAAAGAAACACGATTTGAAGCTGAGCCAAGTTGCTTCACTTCAGTCTAAACAAACTGCTCGACGATTCCGCCGCTTAAATACAACATGCAGAGCTTTTACACAAATAATAACAGTCCACCACATTGAAAAGCATCAATTTGAATAAAATTACCGTTTTGTAGCTCCGAAATTGATTTGATTCAGCTCATCAAGTCGTTTTTTCGATAATCGATGCTGATAAAAAATTTTTTGCACGAAAAAACGATCTATAAATGGGAATGAAATTTATTAATCAAATTTTTGTCAATTGATTAAATCGAAAAATTGAAAAACGCTCATATAATTGAAGAAATTTCTATGAAAAATCGATAAAGAAAAAAGAAATGATTTAATAATGCCAATTTAAAACAAACCATATTTCATAAATATATTTCAAGTTTTAATGATAAAATGAAAAAAACTGGAAAGCGAAAAAGTTTGTTTCTGATTAAACTTATGTGATAGCAAAGTTAGTGCAAAGCAATTGGCACTCATCAGTTTTAGTTAAGTTCGCTACAGTAACTGTTGCGAATTTATGGGATCAGTTAATTTTTATCGGCCAAAATTTCTTATTAAAACCAGAAGAGATGAACGAACATTACTAATCACCACTAATTTACGACTTAGACAAAATCCAACGAACCAAAAAATTTTCGAAATGTCGAAAAGTAATTCAGAGGAAACACAATTCTAACTGCAACTCACATAAATTAAGAATTCTTCACTCCTAACAATTCGAAAGAAGAAATTCGAACTGAAAAGACAATTCTAAACAAAAAATTTCCACATTTTCTAGAAAATAACCTCGATATTTCATAATTTTAAAGCAGAAAACGAGACAAGCAATAATGAAAAATTCATAAAACTTGATTTCAAGATTTCGAGATTCATGTAGATGATAAAAAATTTATAGGCAAAAGCGGTATACGACAATGCCAAGTGACCATTCATGATGATTATTTACTAAAAAGTACTTATGAGAAATATATGAGAAATATGATTCCTTTTTTCTTGAAAAAAATGCTCCAACGCTCCAACGATCATTTATCTTCATAAGTGATGGAATAGCCAAGTGGAAGTGGTTTAGGTTATCGAAGAGGAAAGGATCCGGCTTCTGTTCTATGACTGGAGCAACTTATCATTAAAAAAGTGGGGGAGATTACGGCGATCCATTTGCATTTCTATTATCCAT